AAGGAGATATCAATGTGATTTGATGTTCCCCTATGAAAGGCTCATTTCTAGCTATCAGCTTATGCTGTGGGAGACTCTAGTTTTTCCATCACCTTGATCTGGCTAGAGAAATGCCCAGAAGGTTTTCCGGTCCAGCTGTTCCAGCAGGCCTAAGGGGACGATCCTTGCAGGCCTGTGGTCCTCACTAATGACTTGGAGAATGTTGGCAGAACTGGTCTCATGGCTGAGCCCTGCTGTGCACAGCCTGACGGTGGCTTTTCAGTTGAGCTGCCGGTAGCTGGTGTCTGTGGACAATGAGACGCACCTCTCACGGAATGCTGCATGATCCAGCCGTCTTTCCTCGGCAGAGAGGTTCTGGTTAGGATAGATTCACTGACCTTAAACTGTAGCGTGTTCTTAAAGAAACAAGGACCCAAATCATCTATTCCCGGACATTTTTCAAAAATAGTGACTTAAGACTTTAAATAGCACTTCCCACTAAAAGGAACCAGGACTCCCTCGGATGGCTAATACTAGGTCTGGGGCAGGGAAAATACAAATTGAGTCCAGCACATCTGTGCCTGATGGTAACCAGATGCTAAAATTAAAAAATAAAATGATAGGAACATTATAGAAATACAGAGGAATCTTTTTAAAGACTTTCCTCCTGGGCAAGTCTGGGGCAGTTTGAGCATCTGTGTTAATAATGGATGTAATAGTGGCTTGAATAAAATAGAAACAAAAGGCAGTGAGTCCATATAGACATAAATAAATGAATAAATAAACTGTGGAGAAGGGAAAGCTTCTCCTTCTATGAAATGGCATTGATGAATAGGAAAGAAACAGTGGAGTTTAAAAATCACCACGGATGCTAAAACTAGTGGCTGAACATTGAAAGAGGATCAGGATGTTAGTGTCATCTGAAGAGTTTCCCTACAAAGTCCTTTCTAATTTCAAAAGGAAAATTAATAGCTTTACAGTGGAGAAGGTTTGCCAAATGTTACCCTAACTGTGTGGTCAAGATAAACACCCTAAATTCTGGGATAAACCCTCACCATATGCCTCTGATAAATACAGCAAGAAGACACAATATTACTGCTGGGGTGACCTGCTCAAAAAGGTACCCCTGAATCTAATCATCAGAAACCATGAGATATACACTACCCATTGCAAGAGTAAGGAAGGACATCGGCTGAGGCACTGTTCTAGATAAAAGCAGGATGTGGGAGAGGCCAGTATAAAGAAGGAGACCACCCAGTACAAAGTTTAACCCTCAGTTGGATCCTGGACCCAGAACCAAGCAATGACCTCTAATGAACTTCCTCTGGGCACCTACCAGAATTTGACAATGAACTGTGAATTAGATGATTGTATTACATCAACATGAAATCTGGTAATTTTAATAACTATACTACAGTTGTCTAAGAGAACATCATTATTCATAGAATTGACACACATATATTCATTGGTAATGGGATATAGCATTTCCCAATGATTGAGGGGGAATAAGGAGTGAGAGTGTGTGTGTGTGTGCGCGCGCGTGCGTGTATGAGAGAGAGAGATGATGGTACCAAACATAAATAGTTGGCAATACTCAGCATGTGCTATATATGCACTAGTTAATAAAACTTTACTATTGAATTCGCCAGATCTTTTTTTCAGTTTTGTTTAGCAGTTGGGTTATTTGAGAGTAATTATGACAGTGGCTTTTACTACTTAAGGTCTCTAACGGCCAGCCCAAACACCTACCAAAGATGACTTTGAAAAATATATTTCCTGCCTCGGTCTGGATTTCTCTTTATCGAGAGCAACCAAATAATGCCAAAGTCCGGTTCACTCAGCCAAATCTCATCTCCTTATTTACTTTCATATTTCTGAGATAGCTTCAAATGTTAACATAATTCAGCAGGCTACAACTTGAGAGAAACAGCAAGGAAAATTGATATTTCCGACCTGTGCTTCTGTTCTCTTGATGAGACATTTTATTATCCAGGTGGGTGGAGCCCTGACTCAAACACATTTTCCAAAAGTGCATTTCCTTACCTAGTTGTAAATGAAAATGCCCTTGAAGAGGTCTTAAAGTATTTTGTATCACACAGTATTCAGGTGATGCATTAAACAACGCCATCCCTGTTCGAGGGAGAAAGTATAAGAAAGCCATCTGTGAACCTACTTAATTTGAGGGCCTGAGTTTTAAAAGGAAAGTGAAGTGTAATTTTCTGAATATACTTGTGTGGAGTTTCTTTCTTGGGTGACTAGCATTGTACCTAAAGCAATTCACCCAGTATTATGCTGTTTTAATCTGTACCTCATCCAGTGGAATCCATCGAATGGATTCATGATGTCTAAAGCTGTCCAAACCTACACACAACACATTTGTAAGAAACTGCCAGAATAGGTGGGCACAGTCTTAAGAAAAAGAATTGGTCACATTGAAGATAACCCTGAGTAAAACACTAACCTTATCTACTGAGGTACCTAAATTTCCCTGGAAACAGACCAGATCTGGGCTACCTGATTTCACTCTTTAGGGGGGAAAATAATGATATTATGTTCCTAGCATCTTGGTTCATTCAGTCATCAGGACTGTATTACCCTTGGACCTGTGCCTCACCTAGTCACTCTGGGGCATATTTGCTTTCCGGGAATTTGTTGTCTAATGTCAAATCTCCAAATTCCCATCTAGGATGAGGTTGTTCAGCCAATTACAGAAGATGATATCATGTCATTTGGAAAAGTGGTAAAATAGAGGTCATGAATGATTTAACGAGATAGGAGATCTGCTTTTCTGTTAGGAATATGGTCATCCTGGAAGATTCAGTGGAAACCCATTCTTATTAGAAATTTCAAGATGTCTGCCATATAGTCACTATAACCAACAGTGGCCATGTTGGTGGCCTGTGGAACACTGATGAGATCCACCTGTGGTGCTGTTGTAGGGGACAGATGAGGCAGGGCACTGAAGATAGCAGGAAACAGTTTTATGTGGGTGCATCCAGGTTCAGAGGGCACAGCTTTTGCTGTAATCAATTAATCCCCTGAACCTCGAGTTCAGGTAGTTTCAGAACTTGATACCCAGCATATAAGGGGAGGGGCTCAGAAGTTCCCAGTCTGCAGAAGTTCACATAAAGCAGCTTTTTCTTTCACTGTTCTGGGCAAGTTAACCCTTCAAGGACAACTTCTGAGAAGGGGAGAGCTACTTCTCCCCTCTCTTTCCTCCCCCTGCCAGCTGTTACCATGGAGCCTAATTGGTAACTTCTCTTATCTTAGAAATGTAGACATCTCTGTGAAGCCCAGCTCAAGGCCAAAGGCCTTGTTAAAGGATCTGCCTTTATTATTATTATTATTATTATTATTATTATTATTATTATTATTATTTATCATCATACTTTGCATTTGCAAACACACTTTTACAAACTATTATACTGGATAAATGTTTGTGTAAAACTTAGTAAGAGTGTGTTCAGCACCTGGAGTGCTGATTTCTTCCAGGCCAATAGCTAAGTAAAATAGAGAAACAGGAAAATAGGAAGTTTAACTACATTGAATGCTTTTGTACAGACTCTTAGGCTGATAGTCCTAAGATCAATTATGGTGAAGATTTCTGGGACAGCTCAATTAAGATTTTCTGTGAAAAAAAAATTTTAAAAATTTCTTGTAATTTAAAGAGAAAGGAAGAAACTTAATCTCTGTTTAGCAGAACCAAACTTGGGGCCACCTAGCCATTTCACAGTGATCTGGGCCTGAGTTTGTATCTTTCCAAGCATTCACTGCAGTAGTTTAAATTTCTCTGTTCTTTCAGTCTCCTGATGGCTCCTTGATTTGTGTTTTATTTCAAAAGATGGCAAAGACTTGCCAGGCATGGTGGTATATGCCTCAATCCCAGTGGCTGGGGAGGCTGAGACAGGAGAATCGCAAGTTCAAAGCCAGCCTCAGCAACTTAGTGCAGCCCAAGCAACTCAGTGAGGGCCTGACTCTAAATAAAATATAATTTTAAAAAGATTTTCTGTGAAGAAGGGGGTGCCACTACAGTGCTATATGTAACAGCAACATGTTGGAGCCTCACAACCACCCTACCAAGTGGAGATACTTGACCTTATATGGGATGAACCAGATACTGGCAAAATGGCTTTCCTAGGGCAAGCTAGACCTTTCATCAAATAGTTGGTCTCAGGGCAATGCTCTGTGATCCACTGTTGCACTTGAAACCTTTTTCAGTATCAAGGTATATTCAAGCATTCGACTTAGTGATATTAAGTGGATCCATTTGTGTTTTGCTTTTTGAATAAGCAGCAAAATATAAGAAGAGGTATTTTAAGGTCGGGATGAGAGCCCCTAGAATTTACATTGTATCTGATGTTTAATCTTAGGCAACAACTTACTGTCAGATTCCTGAAGCACTGTTTCCTCGCCTCTAGCTGAGTATAGTAGTGTCTGCCCTCCTAGGGTTGCTAAAAGAATTAAGTGAAATAATATATGGGGTAGCTTTTTGCAAACTATAAAATATAAAGCCTGTTGTTATCATTCCTGTCGTATTTCTTTGTGAATTTACTGGAATATGCCCTTTAGGTGATTTCTCAAAGCTACTGAAATATTCCTTCAAATTCCCATTTGTATATATGCAAGTTATTTATAAAAGGTGGCCCTATTTGAGTATGAAAATTTTAGCATGTGACTGAATCTCACAAACTTAGTTTTCTGCTTCAAGGTATTTAACTCCATTAAAAATTTGCATCTGATTAGGGAGATTGACCATGACCTGGTTAGTAGGTAATGAGAAGGCATTGGTATGATTTGTTTTGGAGCAGTGTGAATGCATTGTAGTTACATGAGAAGATGTGATGCATATGGAGGGGTAAAATCACACAGTGTCTGGTCTCTGCTCTCAAATACTTTAGCAAAGAAAAATATGAATAGATGGCAAAATCTTAATGGGGAATATAGGTCCATCACACGCTTCTCTACTTATGTGTAAGTTTGAAATTTTTTCCTAATATATTTTTTTAATTGTTGTTTTACAGATGCAGATTTTCTTTTACAATCCAGATGACTTTGACAGCTTTCAAACTGCAATTTCTGAGAACAGAATAATTGGAGCCATGGCCATATTTTTTCAAGTAAGTTAACAGTGGCTGAAGTACTTCAACCAAAGAGTTTTCTGAGTATTTTTTTTTAATTTGTCGAATTGTTCCATGTTTAATGAATGCATCTGTTTCCTAGTTCACACCTGTCTAAATGAAAGATATTTCATATTGTCTAATGTGTGATTTAAAATGTAAATAAGTATGTTTAGAAACATAATGAAAATTTTTGCATGAATTATTCTGATTTTATTGCTACTTGACTGGTGCACAGATTGAAGAACACATTTATCATCTAAGTTACTTCTCTGCTGAAGCCTTTTGAACAGGTTCCTCCAGCATATTAAAAGGCTGCTGTTAAAAAAAAAAAAAAGTGGTTTTCTTGTGTTGTGAGCAACTTTAAAACTTGACATTACTTGCGACTAGATTAATAAATAGCATCAGTCACTTCTCTAAAGAGACCCCTTTTCTTTCCCTCTCAGAAATCACCATGGTAACCCAAGTTTTTGTTCAGACTCTTTCTGAGTTAGTACATTGGTGAACTCCCAGTCTTCCTTTCTCTTTTAATGTGCTTATGTTGATTCATGCTCATAGCTCATAAATCGATTATGCACATAGAAGCCAAATCTGACATCCTGCCATAGATGGTGATGCCCAGGTTTTTAATAAGTTAAATCTAATTAAGGGACTGTGGATCAGTGAGTGTCTTGACCATGTTCTGTTTTGAGACAGGATGCTTTTTTTTGTGTGTGGAAGGTAATTTCAATAGTAGCCACATGATTTGTTCTTCCATCTTAAAATGTGCCTAAATTTTTAGAAATGCAGAGTTTTTCTTTTTCTTTCTTTCGTTCTTTCTTTCTTTTCTTTTCTTTTACTTTTATTTTAAAGCAGAGCTCACTAAATTGCTTAGGGGCTGATTTCAAACTTGTGATCCATCTGCCTCAGCCTCTGGAGTCGCTGGGATTAGAGAGAAGTCCTGCACCCAAGCAGGTGTTCCTTTTACCAAGGGGGTCAGTGTTGGAAAACTGTGTCTTCCTGACAGTTCAAAGGGACATTCATTAAAGACTTCATGACTTTCTCCCACAGAGGTCTTTCAGGTCTACCTTTTTGAGTAAGCCTTTCTTGAGATGGGGGCATTCTGGTATATTAATTTTACTGCCCTTTCTAATGGATGACACATAATTGACAAGTCTCTTTGTTGCTCACCTCTCCTTCCTAACTACTTCTCTCCCTTCCTTTGGAAGAAAACTCCAGTGGGAGATTTTATGCAAAAATGTGAGAAGTCTAGTATTGTGATGTCAGAAACGGTTGGTTCTGTTATGGCACCAAATTTTAGATGTTGGGTTCTGTTCTACTGGTGGGCTATGAAATCATTTCATTGACTCCTGACAAGCATTTTAAATATAATGAAATAGAGAACATAAAATGGGTAAAAAAAATAATTGGAAAATAGCAACATACATTTCACATAGTATGGGTAATTTTTTAAATTACTTTTTTAGTTGTTTAACATAGTAATGCATACCGGGTATATTCTGGGTCATGATATAATGTTTTATTTTTAAAAAAATAATAACAAGGTGTTTTATTTGCTGTGGGTCTTGGAAGTTTTGGAAGTTCTCTGTTTATGCTGTATCTTGGGGTGATCTTCCCATTGTTCTTGAACGCATCTCTTTTCTCTTGACTTTCATGAACCGCCGTTGAGTATCATGTTGAAAGAGATTATTTTCATTGGGGTAGAAAGTATTTACTTCTGAATCCCTCCTCTTTCACCTAACAGCTGCATAAAGGTAATGTCATTTAACCTTCCCAACCTCAGTATTCTCATCTCTAAAGTGGGGATGACCACTGGCACATCATGAAGATTATAATGGTAATTGAACGAGTTACTGGTATGATTCCTGGTACATAGTATGCTCTTGGTAAATGCCACATGTTCTTTATCACACCATCCATCTGTTTCTGTGGGCTGGGGACCCTAAGATGTCCATGTGTTCTTTTCATGAGCAGAAGTATATTCTGGCATACCCTGTTGGGAGATGGCCTGGATTCATCAGGACCCTTCTTGTTCCTAAACCATGATTCATTTGCCTTTGATAATACTGGCATCATCTAAGCCACTTGAAAACAGTTCCCACTTACCTACCTAACCCGAGTTTTCTGTCATTTCCCTCTTGCATACTGCTTTTTATGTAGCTGAGCCTCTATTTACCTCTCCCCTTTCTCTGTCACACCCATCTATGTCCAGACCAACCACATCCTACTTTATCAGACACTTTTCTTATACAAAAAATAAAAATTTTAAATGTTTTTACGAGTATTGGAAGGACTATTTCACAGCATGCTCTACCCAAATGCTTTCCGTTTTTTTCCAGCTCTGTAAACACTTGTTAAATATAAGACCAATTAACAGTCTTGGACAGGCAAACCAGCGAAATACTTCACTGTGAAATCTGGGTTTTGAATTTTTAAAGAATTTCTAGGACAGGGCTTCTAGTTTGCATATGAAGAAATTTTAATGTGTATTTCACTTGTTTGGTCCTTTTCTAAAATTTGGCTTGCTATTCTGTAGACACAAAATAGAGGGCAGATAATAAAAACTAAAACAGAATTTTATTTAGACAGCAGCTGTGTTGAGCTGCTCCCTTTGTTTTCCTTGTAAGTCAGTCCACATGTGTGTTTATACACTTGGGTTCACACTGTGTCATGCAATGGAAAGAAAAAAAGTATTATTGTTATTTTAATTTGGCAGTCTACTTAGTTCCCATATTTTAAGATCTTTGTATTTTGAATCTTTCTGTAAGAATAAGTTTGAGAGTTTGGTGTTTCTCTCCAAAGTAAAGAAATCTTTATATGCATGTATGTGTGTATGTGTGTGTGTATATATTTATATATTCCAAATTCAAACCATCTTAAGTTTTGGCATTAAAGAAGTGTTTATTGTCTATTCAGCACAGGGTCTGTGCCAGAAATGGTGGTATTTGCTACATTAAGTGTAATGAATGTAACAGTCTACTAGGACCTGTCACAATCTCTTGTGACAATGGCTGAAAGGAGGCAACAGAGACCTTCCTCTACCTCTAAAGCAGCTGGAGTCTGACTTGGTGCTCAAAAACCTACATGTTCATTGCCCAGGGTTTCATGATGCAAATGGCCTGCAGATACGTGTCCAGGCAAGCCCAATTTCCATGGAGATCTTGGAGTCCAGGTGTTGACACACCATACCCAATAATGATTTTTTTTTAACTTTCAGTTTTTCATTGTTTCTATTTTCTTCCTCCCCCCACCCAATGTATATTTATTGTTTGGGGTAATTTTGGTGCTCTCTCTGCCTTTTCTGTGATGAGAGATGATAAAGTTAGTCATGTTACCTGAACACTTTAAGAATCACAAACCTGATGGGCACATGGTCGACAGAGGAACCTGATGTTGGCCTAGACTTGAGGTCGCCTGCTTGTGGCTTATAGGCATGATGTGTGGAACCTCTTCAGTGTTTAAAATTCTTTCCTTCAGTTAAATATGGGAGGTTTGACCTAAAAGGATCTTTATGATCTAGCAGTGACCAAGATCAGAGTGCTGGCTGTGTATGGTGGAGGGGGTGAGGTCTCCAAGTGGGCTTCTTCATTCAGCAAGGACCTGGCATGAACCCTGGCAACTCTTGAGTGGCAGCTGACATTTGTTGGAGAGTTGAAGAGTGGTTGCAGTGTTGAAAGGTGGTGAGCCAGGACTCCCTGTGTGAACACTGGGAGGGAAGGAAGGACCCTTCCATGGTAGAAGGTGGAGAATCATGGCAGTCACATAGGGTTGTACACCTCTTGGCCCTCAGAGCTATAGCAGGTGAATTGCATTCATAGCCTCTGTTGAGTGGAATATTCCTAAAGTATGACAATGTGTATGGAGGAAGGGTCACCTTTAAATTTTTTTTTTAGTTGTTGATGGGCAAAATACCTTTATTTTATTTATTTATTTTTATGCGGTGCTGATGATCAAACCCAGTGCCTCACACATGTTAGGCAACCTCTCTGACACTGAGCTACACTCCCAGCCCAAATTATCACCTATTTCTAGTCTACACAAATCAGCTTTGTTCTATCAGCCCTCTTGAAGTAGGATAGGAGATAGATAAAGTAAATTTAAAGGATTTTTAAGAAGAATTAAATTTGAAATAAACAACTGGCAAGGAATCAAGGCATTTGTTGTTACACCACTCAAGAGAATGAAGACACGTTTAGGTGATTAATATGTGTGCAAAAATTAAAATAATTGTGTTTTTTTTTAAGTAGAGTCTCCATTATTCTTTCCTGTTAACTTGATTTGCATTCTTTAGAAATGGAAAATACCAGAAGCTAAAGTGCTCTTTGGAAATATCCTATTATTCTAATTTCCTACATGGTTAAATACAGAAACTGAGGTTTACATGAAATTCAGTCAGTGGGATAATTAAGCAATTTGTGGAAAGGTGTATTTTGTTTTTAACGTAATTCACAAAAAGACTTAGTTGTCTCTAATTTAGTTTATAGAATATCCATTTTCAAAATGACCTTCCCTTTTAATAGGCCTATATTTTTTAGACCCAGGCATGATCATCATCCTTTGAAGTGAGTTCTGATTGTTTCTCTCTTCCAATCTGTTTCTTTTACCATTTCTCATTTAACACTCTTTTGACCATGACGTCTGACCATGCCACCATCTTGATGGGTTTGAAATCTGTTGCTTGTAGAAGTGTGGCATCCCCGTTCTACAGGTTTACATATCTGTGTTTCTTCATGAAGAATATTGATTATCACTGAGTTTATGATTTGGGGGGAAGGTCCCATCTGTTTCATTACCCGATTGTGATATGAGTACCCAACATTTATATTCGTGGAATACATGAACCTTTGGACTAATAAATGCACAATTGTTTCAGAGCATCTACATTAAGCGATTTTTCTCATATGACCCTCTCTCTTTTTGGGTGTAGTTACTTCTGTATCTTTGATTCATATGCAAAGATATAAAATTATTATGATATATGTGTATAAGCATAGTTAATA